GATGGTTCTTCCCACATTATAAAGGTGAGACAGGCTGGGTGCAGTGGCTCATGCCTGTCATCCCAGTGCTCTGGGAGACCAAGACAGGAGGATCACTTGAGCCTAGGATTTCAAGACCAGCCTGGGCAACATAGTGAGACCCCCATCTCTACCCAAAAAAAAAAAAAAAAAAAAAATAGCCTAGAATGGTGGCAGGCATCTTTAATCCCAGCTACTTGGGAATGTGAGGCAGGAGTATTACTTGAGCCTAAGGGTTTGAGGCTGCAGTGAGCTATGTTCACACCACTATGCTCCAGCCTGAGTGAGAGAGCAAGATCCTGTCTCTAAAGTAGTTTAAAAAATTAAAATTAAAAAAGAGGATGAAACAGATATGGCAAGGACCACATGGTGAGTTGGAACCCCCATCTTCTGATAGGGTCTAGCTGCCTTTTTCACAGTTGTTACCATCCTTTCCTCCCAAAGTTTTGAAAATCACACCTTTCTGGAGACCAGCCTGAGCAGCATATGGAGACTCCTTCTCTACAAAATAAAAATAAAGCAATTAGCTGGGCATGGTGGTGCATGCCTGTAGTCCCAGCTACTCAGGAGGCTGAGGCTGGAGGCATTGCTGGAGCCTGGGAGGTCGAGGCTGCAATGACCTGGGATCCTGCACACTGCACTCCAGCCTGGGCCACAGAGGGAAACTCTGTCTCAAAAACAAAACAACAAAAAATCCCATACCTTTCAAATGTGCCCAATAATTAGATTCTTTAGGCCAGTAGATTTCAACTGGGGAACATTTGGCAATATCAAGAGACATTTTTCATTGTCACAGCTAGAGGGGAGGGGTCGTGGTACAACTGGCATCGAGTGAGTAGAGGCCCAGGGATGCTGTTAAACATCTGACAATGCACAGGACAGTGCCCTAACCCCATCCCACAACAAAGAATTATCCAGCCCAAAATGTCAGTGGTGCCGAGGCTGAGAAACCCTGCTTCCAGCTATAAGAAGTCTTAGAAAGGCCGGGTGCAGGGCCTCACGCCTGTAATCCCAGCACTTTGGGAGGCTGAGGCGGAGGATCATGAGGTTAAGAGATTGAGACCATCCTAGCCAACAGTGAAACCCTGTCTTTACTGAAAACACAAAAATTAGTCAGACATGGTGGCACATGCCTGTAGTCTCAGCTACTTTGGAGGCTGAGGCAGGAGAATCGCTTGAACCCAGGAGGCAGAGGTTGCAGTGAGCCGAGATCCTGCCACTGAACTCCAGCCTGACAACAGAGCGAGACTCAGTCTCAAAAAAAAAAAAAAAGTCACTTGGCCTTGATCTCTGCTTTCAGGCTTGTGGTCTGTCCCCGAAACACCATTCACTGATGAAATCTTTGTGTGTGTGTGTGTGTGTGTGTGTGTGTGTGTGTGTGTGTGTGTGTCTGTCTGTCTGTCTGTCTGTCTGTATGTCTGTGTGTCTCTCTTCATCCTCCAGGTCCCCAGGTCCTGACCTGGCCTTCCTGACTTCCTGTCCTGACAAGAACAAAGTCCATTTCAACCCGACTGGCTCAGCCTTCTGCCCCGTCAGTCTGATGAAGCCCCTCTTCCCTGGCATGGGCTTCATCTTCCGTAACTGCCCCTCAAACCCGGGGTCTCCCCTTCCCCCGGCCAGCCCCAGGCCACCACCTCGGAAGGATCCGGAGGCCTCCAAGACCTCCCCACTACCCTTCGAGCCATGGCAGCGCACCCCACCATCAGAAGAGCCTGTGCTTTTCCAGAGCTCCCTGATGGTCTGAGGGTCCCACCCCTGCCCCACTTTACCATAGAGACCAGTGCCTTGGTGGCAGGTCCCTCCCCAGGTCCCCTGGATGGGGTATGGAGGGGCCCTTCCCTCTCGGCCTTTGAGCACTTTCACTTATTGTGTCAAAGCCCTGGGTCCTCTTTTTGATGGGCACCGGCCCCTCTGAATGTGAGGGGGTCTGCCTTCTCCACTAGCAGCTGGGCAGCTCACAACTCACACCCGTGTACCTGCCACATCCAACTCACTTGGTGGAAAACACCCAGAAGGTCTTGAGTCCCCCACCCCTGGGTGTCAGTCCAAATGACTGTATAGGAGGCCCTTATTTTTGTCACAGAGCAAGCTGGCCATGAATGAAGGAGAGAGGATGCCACAGATTTCCTTCCCTCTCCTCCACAGTCACACAAGAGGAGACCAGAAGATAGATTCCCCATCCTGTCAGCCCTATCCCCATGCCTCCCTCTCACTGGAGGAGCTGACCAAAGCAGCGCTAAAGGGCCCTAATACTTGACCAATTCAGCTGCTGGCGGAGGGAGGAAACAAGTGTTTTCCCAAGTGGCATTTTCATCTCGCTTTCACCCTGACTAAAGATTGTCTTAAGTAGCAGCCCAGTCCCCCCAGCCCCAGGTGGGTAGTGGGGAGGAGAGCTGGCATTCCTCCAGGTGGCAAATGGCGACTCTATACTCTCCGCCCACCCCAGGGCTGGATTGGATTAGAAAAATGCCTATTTTTCTTGTATCGATGTAGAAACTCTATTTTCTCCCAAAGACACTATTTTTGCAGCTGTTTGAAGTTTGTATATTTTCCGTACTGCAGAGCTTACACAAAATTGAAGAATGTTAATGTTCGAGTTTTCTTATCTTGTGTTTAGAGGTTGTTTTTTGCAGATCTTGGTATTATAGACCAAATAAATAAATAAATATTCCCAGCAGCTTGAAGTTCTGTTAAATATTTGGGGAAGGAGGGATGGGGTGGCGATTGAGTATTGATCATTTCATCTTTGTCTTCAAGAGAAGGAGCATCAATTTCCACATCTGGGTGTTGTTATGGCCGCACAGAGTTCCCTCTGGACACCATGCTTGCATGCTTTACATGGACATATAAACAGACCCATGGAAAGACTGTCCAGAATGAAGAGTATAGTTTGTTCTAGAGGTGGGGTGAGGGAGTCATTGGGGAAGTTACCCATTCTAGTGTGAGTCTGAAAAACCGCCCTAAGGAGAATGGATTTCAAAGAGGAAAAGCAGGTGACCAAGGGAAGACAGTCTGACACTGTGGCCGTTCCCTGCACTGATTGGATCTCTTGACAGTTTTGGGGAAGCTTTCGCTCATCTCAGGGAGTACCCACAACATAGTGTGCAGCCTTGACGGGAACAAAGAAACTATACAAAAATACTATTCTTATCCTTTCCCCGCCTTTATAATGCTGCACCTGCAAGAGCTCTTAGGCTTTGGTGGAAAATAGGAATAACCATCTCAATATTCCGATGGTACTTCGGAATTTCCAAAGCATTTTCACAAAAGACATATCCCCATTATATGGGTGAAAGTTGACTACCCCAAGGGCAGTCATAATAAGTACAGTTGTATCGATATAAGACCAGACAACAAACTCCTAAACCGGCTATCCCAACCACCATTCACGGTGGAGGGGCTCATTAATTGGGCTCATGATGAGGAGCTCATTAATTGAGCTGGTAAGAACCAACTACCATGTTAAGTGCTTCGTATAAAATGTTATCAAAACATGACAACCACCCAGTAAGAGATAATGGTAAGTTCCACTGGATAATCAGGGAAGGACAAATAGATTGAATAACTTTCCCTAAAATACACAGATACGAAGTGGGGGAGCTAGGATTGGAAACGATCATTTGAAACCCAGTGCCCATGTTCTAACCACAGCGCTCTCTTGCATGTTATTATATTCCCATTAATTTCACGTGAGGAAAGTTGACTCAGAGGACAAGGGAATTTTTTGAGGTCCCAGCTGGTAAAGAGGTAGAGCTGGTAGGTCTCTCCTCCCAGTTACTTGGTACCCTGGCATCGCGGGCTAAGCCAGTAGAGTAAGCTGCTGAGCAAGAGAGCAAATGTATGGGAATTCCTACGCCACTAATATCCAGGAGACAGTGGGCTGGGGACAGACTCCATCTTCTATCCCTTACCCCTCCCTATAAAAGACTTCTGGCTCCCCCGCAAAGCCTTAGTGAGTCAGGCACAGAGTGATGGGTGTGGTGCTGCCCAGTATTTCCTTCCTTTGGCTGAGGCTGTGCCAAAAGAGCAGGCTGCTAGAAGAGAAGGCCCAGAGTCCACCTGGTGGCCAGAGATTTGGGCCAGTTACTAAGTAGGGGGTTGGGGGTAGCAGTGGGAAGATCTGAGGTCAGTCTTGCCCTGGTAATTCGTGCCAGCAGGTGGAGACCCAACACTTGCATGAGGAAGGGGTCCAACGAGGAGCTCATCACTGGGAAATATTCAGGAGTGTGGCCGAAGGGTTTACGCCATTGTTGGTGAGTTCTTAAGACTTGGAAGAAAACCGACTTCAATAGGCTTCCATTTCCACCCCTCGATGTGAGGAAATAAGATCAGGGCTGAGAAAGTGATGACTAGTAACACCTTAAACTACAGTTTACAAAACACGTTTACCAACTTCAGCTGATTTGCTCCTCAGAACAGTCAAGAGGCGACAGGACGGTTATTACTAATTACCCCTAGTTTCCAGACCTGGAAAACTCTGGCTCACAACTTCGGTGACAGGGGTAGGTTACCCCGCCTTTAAGAGACCAAACCGAGACTTCCTGTGCGGCTCTCCTGCTTGGAAGCCTAGTGACGTGCCCAGTAATGAGCAGGTAAAGTCGCTGACGCTGGGCAGCAGCTAGAGGGCGCTGAGGTTCCAGTAAGAGATTTTGGCGTTAGAACCCACTAGAAGCCTCGTCACCCGCCGCGGAAAAGACTATTGGATTTCCTCTGCCTGCCGCACCTCCTCCTTCCCCGCCCACCTGTCAGTCTTCACACAGCTCAGCCAATTGGTGGCCTCCACATCCTCATGCGTCATTATTCTACGCCCGGGTAGCTCTTAGGGCACCCGGTGATGCTCTGGGTCGCAGTTGTCCTCAGCGTTGCCTGATTGGGAAAAATCTCCAGGGCGAGGCATTCATCTCGAAGCAGCCGGTTGTCCTGGCCCTCAGGGGTGAAGTTAAGGTCCTAGGCCTGGTTTTCTTTCCTAGAAAGTGGTTGCTGCTTTCTAATGCGTTTCCCCCTCGGCAGCCCTGAGCTGGCAATTCTGGTAGTGACTGCAGGGCCCTGCTAGACGGCGGTCGCATGCAGCTCCTATGAGGCCCCCGCCGCCGGTCGGCGATGTCCGACTGGAGCTGTCGCCTCCGCCGCCGTTGCTGCCGCTGCAGGTTGTAAGCGGGTCTCCAGTCGGCCCCGCCGGGCGTCTCATGGCCTCTAGCAGCTCTCTGGTGCCCGACCGGCTGCGCCTGCCGCTCTGCTTCCTGGGTGTCTTTGTCTGCTATTTTTACTATGGGATCCTGCAGGAAAAGATGTGAGCGACCCCCGGGGCGGGCCGACATTCTCTCCCCAGCCTGTGACAGCGGTCTCGTTCTTTCCTCTTGTCCTCCCGCCCGGCTGTAGCCCTCCTAGCACCCCGCTACTTTTGCAGCTATGGCTGAGCCTACCCAGAATTCCAGAACTCCAGGGTTGTCTTCTAGATTCTCCGGACTTGGTCATTTTCTTAGCTGTTTTTCCCCCGCTTGGTTCTAAGGGACTGCGTTTTATGGGCTGAGACTTCTACCCCGCAAACAGGACCCGAGTCGGCCCCTTTCTGGTACTCCCGGATGCTTGCAAACAACCTATTCGCCTTCGGCCTTGCTGCCATAGCCCAAATACCTCTCCTTCCTGCCTGGGGTACCCGATTTCACTGTCTCGTTTTCCATGTTTCCTCTCCGTCTTTTTCGGATATTCTTTTCATAGGCTATGGAATCAGTAGTCTGGGGTGTCTAGTTTCTAAATCCGGTAAAATCAGCCCCTTTTGCAGATGAGCCTAGTGGTCATTACAGACTCTCCCTAAATCCAGAGCTGCAAGATAATTTTAAAGTTTTTAGTGGCTCTCGATATATTAGATGACGGTGAGTGAAATCTGCTAATTTCTCCTCTCTTTTTCCATGCATTTCATTTCTAGAACAAGAGGAAAGTATGGGGAGGGAGCCAAGCAGGAGACGTTCACCTTTGCCTTAACTTTGGTCTTCATTCAATGTGTGATTAATGCCGTGTTTGCCAAGATCTGTGAGTACCTAGATAGTAATTTGTTGGGTACCCCACCACCCCAAGTCCCTTCAGTATCCTGGGCATTAAACATGGATTTAACCTTAAAGACTTAACTCATGATCTCCACCCATTTAGTACGTACACAGCCTCTCTGTGAAGTCTGTAAAACTAATGACTTTGAAGTGGAGTAAAATATTATTTCCCCAATTTTTACCAACTTCTGAGTTAGAAGTGTTCAGAGAATCAGTCTTCTGTATTCCAAATCTCCATTGAAAATACATAAAACATTTTTTTCTTTTCCTTTGAGTTTCTTTTGTGTGTCAGCTTCAAGCATTCTTTGAGCAATTCTCTCTTTGTTCCCTGGGGACTAGCAGCAGGGCTGACTGGTCCCTTGAACTGAATGAGGCCCCCACCTCCACCCTGCATGTGGTCTTTTGTTAGGCTTAGGTAGAATTGGAAAGATGAATAATTTTCAGAGGTTTCCCAGTGTAAGAGGACAGAAATAGCTGTGTCTTATTTGACAGGCAAATTCCTTTCATGTGGCTTCAGCTTTGCTTAGTGGTCCATCCTAGCCCCACCAGGTTTCTCTTGTTTTTTTTTTTTTTTTTTTTTTTTGTCTTTCTTTTTTTTTTTGTCTTCTCCCAGTGATCCAGTTTTTTGACACCGCCAGGGTGGATCGTACTCGGAGCTGGCTCTATGCTGCCTGTTCTATCTCCTATCTGGGTGCCATGGTCTCCAGCAACTCAGCACTACAGTTTGTCAACTATCCAACTCAGGTGAAACCTCAGGGTGTGATGACGGTTGGCTCAGAAATCATTTGGAAAGGACTAAGGGTTCTTCCCTCAGGTCTGTGAGTTATAAAATCAACAAATAACAGTCCTGTGAGAATGTCTGAGAAATTCGGAGTATATAGGACCACAGAACTTGGGTTTAGTGGTGGCGGGTTGGACCATGATACGGCTGCTTTCTGAGGCTGAGGTCTCTGGTACAGGCCCTGTGCTTACTCGTCTTAATCAGCGTGGTACCTAGCATAGTACCTGACACATCACAGATGCTCAGAAATTGTTTGCTGGATTTAATTTCAGGTCCTTGGTAAATCCTGCAAGCCAATCCCAGGTAAGCAAAGAAGATGGTCTTCCTCTCCTAACTCTTCCTATAGTAAGCTCTCTCTTTCTCTGCCAGAACTCTGTGTTCCTCTCAGCTTCATCATCCCGTCATGGCTATCTCCAGGGACTTTCTGCCACCTCTTCCCGCTGCCCATCCTGTCACCTGTGTCACTTCCTGTGATGTTCATAGGCTGGTAATCCTTAACGGGAGCTAAAGGCTGACCTAGCCTGCTTCACGTGGTCAGCCATTTCCACGTTGCATGCGTTAACACTGTCCTTAGACAGCCTGATTCCCATTTTGATCATCAGTTTCTTTGTCTCAGCTTCTTTCCCTTCTCCACTGTTCCCCACCCTTGCCCTGTCCCTTCCTGGATTTTTAACCTTTGCTCTCTACCTCTTCCCTATCTTATACTTAACCCTGTTGCTCAATCTTTATCTAGGTGCCAGCCTGGTGCCCTCCTTTCGTCCTCTCTTAAGCCTTCCTTCGCAGTCATTCTTTTCTCCCTGAGTCTTCTCTTGGTTCCTGGGAGGGGGAGGGTATTGGGGTCATCGATGCCTTTTGGATGCCTGAATTTTCCACTGTTCTTTCCCTGTAGTCATGCTCCTTGGGGTGACCCTCTTGAAGAAGAAGTACCCACTGGCCAAGTACCTGTGTGTGCTGCTAATTGTGGCTGGAGTGGCCCTTTTCATGTACAAACCCAAGAAAGTTGTTGGGATAGAAGAACACATAGTCGGCTATGGAGAGCTCCTCCTGGTATGAGATCATGTTAGGCGAGGCAGCCTTTTCCAGCAAACTTAACCAAAGAATAGCCCCATCTAGGCAGGGAGAAGGCCAGTTAGGTGTCAAGGGAGGTTGTGGTACTCCTTGTCCCCATATCTGGTCTTTGCTGCAGGCCTCTGGCTCTGTTGAGGCCATAGTGGGAAACCGGAAATATTTAACTATAGCTCAGCTCTCATTCTGGAGAAGAGAGAACTCTGAGGGTTGTGTCTGAATCCTGGTATGAGGTCACAGAGACCTGAGAGCAAAGAGGGAAGGGGTAAATGTCTCTTACTGTGGCTTTCCTGGAAGCCAGAGTTTAAAATAACATGAGAGCATCTGTTGTATATGCATTAGGCATTGTTGCAAGTGTTTTACATGTTAATTGACTAATTTTTACAACAATAATCTCATATGTGGTATTATCTCCATTTTACAGATGAAGAAACTAGGCACAGAGAGGTTAACTTGCTTGCCCATGGTGACGTGGCTAGTTAAGTGGAGAGGTCAGGTTTCTAATCCAGGCAGCCTAAGCACAGGATCCAGTCTCTGGAGCACTAGCCTCCAAGCTAGGAAGCTAACCTGCTGGGACTGGCTTTCCCCTCCCAGTGTGTTGGGAAGTGAGCTTCCTGCTCCGCTCTGATTACAAAATCACTATGTGGCTCAGTGAGCCTGTTGGTCCAGTGCCTGGGCAGGGAGCGGGAGTGAGCGTGGTCTCTCCCCACCTCCCACCTGTGACCACATGGCAACGTTTTGTTCTGAGGACTCTAAAGGCAGTGGCTTTCCAAAGAGCCTGAGAGAGAGAATCCTGTGTCCTGGGTTAGGAAGGGGCCCTGTTGACCTTTCCACTGCAAGCTGCACCCTTTCCTCCCCAGCTATTGTCGCTGACCCTGGACGGACTGACAGGTGTTTCCCAGGACCACATGCGGGCTCATTACCAAACAGGCTCCAACCACATGATGCTGAACATCAACCTTTGGTCAACATTGCTGCTGGGAGTGGGTGAGAGCCAGTTCTGCTGTTCCTCCCCTGTATCACCAGAGGACAGGCTGCCCTCATCCTCTTGGGCCCTCTAGCTGATAGTTGCTAACTTTGCCCAGGCCGAGGGCCTAAACTGGTTCCAAGATACCCTTTTTCCAAGCCCTTGGGAAACCTTCCTGGAAAAACCTGCACCAGCAGGATTTATTTGCTACTTTTACCAGCACAATGAAGGAGGGTCCTGTGTCAGGTGTCATGGGAAGACACTCAGCATTGACACTCAGCAGTAAAACACGGGGAGGTACCTGGGAAGGTACCTGGGAACTGTTCCTTTCATGAGGGAAATGAGACACACACAGTGCTCTCAGGAAACAGACTTAGCTGTACACTGCAAACAGTTCAAACGTGTTCGCTTTGAAATCGGTGCTTCCTGACTTCGAATTTGGGCACACGTAGGAAGTATTTTTTGTACAGCACACAGGTTAATGGTGGAGGCTGCTGATGGCTGGAGGGGACTAACGCGAGGGGCTTCCTTAAGCTAAGGATGTGTGGGTCGGCATCCCGACAACATCTGAGGATTTCTGCTTTTAATCACTTTGGTAGAAGTAACTCATTAGCTTTCAAGCCTTTCTCACAAAATTCTCTTTAGTTTCTCTAATCAGAGAAAAATATGAGAAGAACACCTGATGAGATGATACAAACCCGCACCATACACTCTCCCACGTCCCCTCCTTTGCTGTTCTTGAAGAGGCCGTGTGCAGAGTGCGTGTGTGTGTGCGTGCACACCCATGGGTAAGGGCACGCAAGAGGCGCCATATATTTTTTTACATTTCTTCTCAGCAATCCTTTTCACTGGGGAACTCTGGGAGTTCTTGAGCTTTGCCGAAAGGTACCCTGCCATCATCTATAACATCCTGCTCTTCGGCCTGACCAGTGCCCTGGGTCAGGTGAGTTCTTGAAAGGGGATGGCTTTCACCCTACCCTGGCAGCTGGCTCCCTAAGAAAGACTGGCCTGGCTGGAAGAAGAGGGTGGCAATATGAGCCCCGAGGTCTGTTTATAGACTTTAGACCAATGGCAGATACCCAAGAGCCCACCTGACCTCACCTTTATCTTTCTCTAGAGCTTTATCTTTATGACGGTTGTGTATTTTGGTCCCCTGACCTGCTCCATCATCACTACAACACGAAAGTTCTTCACAATTTTGGCCTCTGTGATCCTCTTCGCCAATCCCATCAGCCCCATGCAGTGGGTGGGCACCGTGCTTGTGTTCCTGGGTGAGTGGCCACACAGAGACATAGTGATAGCTGAATTTTTTTCTCCTAAAATTTACTTGTATATTTATGAAATTTATTTCAATCATTTGGAGAAAACTTTTTTTTTTTTTTTTTTGAGATGGAGCTTCGCTCTTGTTGCCCAGGCTGGAGTGCAATGGCACAATCTCAGCTCACCGAAACCTCTGTCTCCCGGGTTCAAGCGATTCTCCTGATTCAAACTGTCGAATAGCTGGGATTACAGGCATGTGCCACTACACCCAGCTAATTTTGTATTTTTAGTAGAGATGGGGTTTCTCTATGTTAGTCAGGCTGGTCTTGAACTCACGACCTCAGATTATCCACCCGCCTTAGCCTCCCAAAGTGCTGGGATTATAGGCGTGAACCACTGTGCCCAGCCTAGAGAAAACTTTTAAAAGAGAAAAGAGGCTGGGTGCAGTGGCTAACACCTGTAATCCCAGCACTTTGGGAGGCTGAGGCAGGAGGATCGCTTGACTTCAGGAGTTTGAGACCAGCCTGGGCAACATGGTGAGACCTGCCCCCCATCTCTGCAAAAAATACCAAAATTAGGCATGGTGGCACACGCCTGTGGTCCCAGCTACTCACGGGGCTGAGGTGGGAGGATCCCTTGAGCCCAGAAGGTGGAGGCTGCAGTGAGTTGTGATCACACAACTGCACTCCCACCTGGGTGACAGAGTGAGACCCTGTCTCAAAGGAAAATAAAAAGAGAAAAGAAAGCATTATTTCTAATCTAGCCTTCCGGGGGTCTCCCTCTGTTGCTCAGGCTGGAGTTTAGTGGCACGATCATAGCTCACTGCAACCCTTGAACTCCTGGACTCAAGTGACCCTCCCACCACAGCCTCCCAAGTAGCTGGGATTTATAGGCATGTACCACCACGCCTGAATTTTTTTTGTAGAGGTGGGGTCTTGCTGTGTTGTCTAGGCTGGCCTCAAACTCAGGCTCAAGTGATCCTCCTGCCTCAGCCTCTCAAAGTGCTGGTATTGTAGGCGTGAGTCACCATATTCAGCCATTGCTTAGAAGTTTTTGGTTCTTAAATTGCTTTTAATCTTATTGTATTTATATATATCTGTAATAACCGGTATCCTGGTGCCATTCTCTTGTCTCTGAGGAAGTTCCATAAAACCCAGTGTTCTGACATGTATTTTATTTAAAGCCCCCATTTTGGAGAACTAAGACTGACTACGCCACCCCACCACAATCATAGGTAGGTTTCATTTCCCCCCATAAGGCTAAGTCCACCATTTTCTTCCTTTTCGTAGGTCTTGGTCTTGATGCCAAGTTTGGGAAAGGAGCCAAGAAGACATCCCACTAGGAAGAGAGAGACTACCTCCACATCAAGAATATTTAAGTTATTATCTCAGACAGTGACCTCTCTTGGGAAAACGGACTCAATAGGAATATGGGACTGAGTTCCAGTCTTTTTTAAAAAAAATAAAATCAAGCAAAATCACATATTCTAAAGAATGCACTTGAATTTTAACAAGACAGAGTTGGTAGTTTTTGTTCTTCATGCCCTGGAGCACAGTCCAGGGTAAATGAAGAGGGAGGGAAGAGGCAGAGCCGTACGTGCACTACCCAGGCTGCTCCTCTCTCAGGTTCGGTTAGCTTGGTTGAGTGGGTGATTCCCCCAAGAGCATCAGCATTATAGGAAGGAAATCTTTTTTTTTTTTTGGAGACAGAGTTTCGCTCTTGTTACCCAGGCTGGAGTGCAATGGCGCCATCTCGGCTCACCGCAGCCTCCGCCTCCTGGGTTCAGGCAATTCTCCTGCCTCAGCCTCCTGAGTGGCTGGGATTACAGGCACGTGCCACCATGCCCAGCTAAATTTTTGTATTTTTAGTAGAGACGGGGTTTCACCATGTTGACCAGGATGGTCTCGATCTCTCGACCTCGTGATCCACCCGCCTCGGCCTCCCAAAGTGCTGGGATTACAGGCTTGAGCCACCGCGCCCGGCCTAGGAAGGAACTCTTATGAGATCACAGAATTGTCCTAATTGCTTCTGTTCGATGAGTGAGTCTTGTCCCATTGGGTCTGGTCCCATTAGAGAATGGGTGGCTGTCCATTAGGGCCAGAGAATGTAAAAATCACTTTCTCTCCTAAAGCTTCTATGGGCAAATGTTTCATTAAAAAACAAAAGTTCTGTGCTGTCTTTTTCTTAGCCGGGTGCAGTGGCTCACCCAGCACTGGGAGGCTAAGGCAGTAGCATCACTTGAGCTCAGGAGTTGGAGACCACCCTAGACAACATAGTTAGATCTTGTTTCTACTAAAAATCAAAAACAAACCAAAAAGAAATATTCATGGGCTGGGCACAGTGGCTCAGCCTAGAGTTTGAGGCCAGCCTAGACAACACAGCAAGACCCCACCTCTACACCTATAATCCCAGCACTTTGGGAGGCTGAGGCAGGTGGATCACAAGGTCAAGAGATCAAGACCATCGTGGTCAACGTGGTGAAACCCCGTCTCTAACTAAAAATACAAAAATTAGCTGGGCATGGTGGCGCATGCCTGTAGTCCCAGCTATTTGGGAGGCCGAGGCAGGAGAATTGCTTGAACCCAGAAGGCGGAGGTTGCAGTGAGCCGAGATCGCACCACTGCACTCCAGCCTGGGTAACAAGAGCGAAACTTCGTCTCAAACAAACAAACAAAAAAAATTCATGGAGGTTGGGGTAAAATGAACCCAGAGCTTCAGAATCCGCTGTTTTGCTGTTTCCCCACTGCCCCCGCCTCAGCCACAGCTCTGTCGAGACCAGAGTGGAGGCTCGGTGCAGACATCGTGATCAGCTTTGGAAGGTCTGTGTACTTTTCCTGATTTCCCCCCTCCATCTGTCTGTCTGTTCTCAGTCTACCTGGTCCTCTCCAGGGAAGGCTGAATTAATCCCTCCTATTCCCCTGCCTCCTCCAGCTGCTGAAGCATTGCCGTCCTCTGCCATCCTAACTGTGCCAAGGTATCACCATGCCAGCTTCTGCCTGTTGAAAAGGATGCTGGCGGAAGTCATGGTGGCTGAGTCCTGGCACAGCCACTGTCGAGTTGTCTAGGTGGCAATGGAGGGAAAAGGCGGAGCATGGAGCAGAGCCACCTGCCCACTGCTGCTTTTCGAGTTGGAAATCACAATTCTCCAAGGACCAAACTTTACACATGAAAGTGCATTTCCACCAGCTGCAACTTTCTCTCCATCTGTTCAGCGTCCCCAGCCCCTTGGCTCTCCAGATGGGAGCCCGGCCTCCTTCCTGAACGGCTGCCTTGCCACCCCCTGCCCAGCCTTTCAAGCCCTGCCTCACTTGTGCTCATCTCACTCTCTGGGGGCCCAGGTGTCACTGCAGTCCTGCCGCAAAAAGCCCCCTATCACTGAACTGCTGGGGAGAGAAGACGCTTTAAGTACATCTGGCTGAACTTCCTTCCTTCCTTTCTCCACCTCTTTCCCCTCACTTTTTTTCCATACTGAAATTTGCATCGATTAGCTTCTTCCCTACTAGATTTTAGGTCTTTGAAACTCTTCTCCTACAGATTGGTTAGGTGGCTAGGCCCTGCTACCAAGGCCAGGGACATACATGTGCAAGCAATTGTCATCTGGGCCTGTTTTAAGGGACATCTTCCCAGCTACCAGACCAATTCCCTCTACCTCTTTCTTCTACCATTTTTGACCAACTGTCTCAAAAATATCTAGTACTAGTCCTGAGCGAGACAGGGTTTCAGTAGCTCAGCATGGCTCTCACCTGGTATTAAAAAAAAACAGCTTGTAGAGCAAGCCTGGGGGTGGGGAGTTCTAGTGTATTTGTTCAGTCCCCTGTCTATCCATCTTACATTGGCGTCCTTTTGGGTGCCATGTATTGTGAACATGCTGGGAGTTCAAAGTTAAGTAGGACTAAAACTTACCCTCTAGGGACTGCACGGTCTAATACGGAGACAGGAAAACATTCTTGTATCTCAGAAAGGCAGGGATAACCACAAAGGAAGGTGTTTGGGCAAGGTGAGGCTTGAGCTGGAGAGTGTAGGAAGATGGAAGGAGGAGGAGGAGGAGGAGGAGCCGGAGCTGGGCTCCACTGCCAAGCAGGAAAAGGGGTACCTGACTCCCTTTCACCCCTTGCTCCTGCCTAGGTCAGTTCCACAGGGAACATGGCAGGAGAGTGGATTTAACAGGAGACATTGTTTGGCTCAACTTGAAGACACCTGAAAAGGTTTTGTGAGCTGCCAGCTGGCTCCGGGTGGCACAGGGACCGGGAGTGCCAAAGTTGACTAAAGTCAGTAACACTGTTAGCTTATAATAGGGCTGATAAATGTGAAATGCCAGACAAGTTCAAACAAAAGTGATGGTGATCGCTAACCCTGGGCGGCCTGATGTCTCAGGTTTCTGAAGATCAAAGGACTTTCAGCTGCAGTTAATTCTCAGCTATGTGTAGAAGGGAGGGAACCGGCATGCAGATTTCCCCAGACACTGTTTTCAGTTTGGGGTGTATGGTACTTATGGCTATTTTGGTCAAAGCATCTGAGCCACCTCCTTTATTGTTCATGCTCAGGTTCATGATCAAATGATTTTTCATTCCCTGTGGCAAGGGGAGTAACCCCACCCCCCCCACCATGTGATTTGGGGCACAATCATAGGGAAAGCTATTCTGGAGTTAAACATTAAGAGAGGCCAGGCATGTTGGCTCACGCCTGTAAACCCAGTACTTTGGGAGGCCGAGGTAGGCAGATTACGAGGTCAGGAGATCGAGACCATCCTGGTTAACAACAGTGAAACCCTGCTTCTACTTTTAAAAAGTACAAAAAAAATTAGCCGGGCTTGGTGACATGTGCCTGTAGTCCCAACTACTTGGGAGGCTGAGGCAGGAGAATCCCTTGAACCCAGGAGGCAGAGGTTGCGGTGAGCCAAGATCGCACCACCACATTCCAGCCTGGGGATGGAGTGAGACCCCATCTCAAAAAAAACCCCCAAAGTTCCATATTGTTTTTAAAAGGACTTAAGATACCAGGAATTAAACATGAACAGTAGGTAATCTATCAAGTGAGGTATTTAGGAATGGATTATGTGTTTTCTCACAGCTTCCTACCAGCCTTGTGAAAAGGGGACTCTGCAGACATCTGCACTTTTTAAAGGTGGGAAAACCCAAATGAGGGAGAGATACGCAACCTGTGGCAGGTCCCCAAGTATGTTCCTGAGACACAAACTATAACTCCGGGTTCCCTGCATTCTAGTCGCATCTTGGCCCTGTGCCCTCTGAGGGAGGAAAGTGAAGCCCGCTGGGAGACCCTTTGCCTCTGTCTGGCCCCACTTGGCAGTGGAACAGTTTGCAGGTTTTATGAGTAGTGCTGGTCATTTTCCCCAGATACCCTGGCAGAGAAGTTGTCCTGAGTCTCTGTGGAATCATTGAGCCCTTCCCACTAAAAACACGCCAGCTGTCTTTGGGAACAGTAATCTCGTATATTTATAGAGCTCCTTCTTTCCCAAAGCTCTTTAGTACATGACATTTTATCCTTAGAACACTTCTGGGAAGAGGTTAGGCCAGAAAACAGTCTCCCCATATTTGGAAGAGGGAGCCTGAAACCCACCAAAATGCATCAGCTGAAGGTCACATCGCACCGCCCCAAAGGAGGGCAGGAGCTCCGTGGGTGGGCTCCTATTTCACTTCCCACTTTCCAGGGTCAGGGAACCCTAACCTTCAGTGGGCTAAATCAGTGGTTTCCAGCTGTTCAGATTTTCTGAAAATTCCCAGTAGAATTTTCAAATAATTTGGAGGTATGCTGGCTTTTGATTTTTTCAAGTAAGGACATTTTTTAAAAAATCAAGGCTGGGTCTGATGGCTCATGCCTGTAATCCCAGCATTTTGGGAGGTTGAGGTAGGTGGATCACGAGATCAGGAGATCAAGAGCATCCTGGTCAACATGGTAAAACCCCGTGTCTCCTAAACATACAAAAATGAGCGGGGTGTGGTGGCATGGGCCTGTAATCCCAACTACTCGGGAGGCGGAGGCAGGAAAATCGCTTGAACCCAGGAGGCAGAGGTTGCAGTGGGCCGAGATTGCACCACTGTACTCCAGCCTGGGTGAAGAGTGAGACTCCATCTCAAAGAAAAAAAAAAAAAGAAAAGAAAAGAAAAAGAAAAAAAAGAAATTATGATTGGAAATCATACTACTGTATTCATAAAATAATTTATTTTTTTATTTTTTATTTTTTATAAATTAATCTTTAGTTGCAGAAAATGTTCAACATAGGCTGGGTGTGGTGGCTCATGCCTATAATCCAAGCACTTTGGAGGCCAAGGCAGGCAAATCACCTAAGGTCGGGAGTTCAAGACCAGCCTGACCAACACAGTGAAACCCCGTCTTTAAAAAAAAAAAAGAAATAAAATGTTCAACATAAAATGTTATTCTACAATCATACATTGTAGGGCATATCACTATGATTGTTTGCTTGATGTACTTTGTCAGTTTGGGCACTGTCTTCTACGGTGCAGGCCAGCAGAGTGAATGTCATATAAGCATGCTTG